TTTGCCTATTAATTATGCATGACAGACAAAAAGCCACAAAGATCGAGCGTAAACCAGGTTGTAAATGTGATGAATCTACGACAAAACAGTCAATAGTCCTGGAATATAATCTTCTTTAGAAAAAGCAACTGATTTTTGCTGGAACTCGTTCACAGTAGAACACAAAACTTTACCATAATCGACCAGGAGAAACATAAAATCGAACAAATTTACATTTGGAACCCATGACTACCAGATGCATTATGTAAACATTGATTTACATCATCAGTATGGAATTTCTATCGCTGAGGCACAGATGTTCCTCTTGGTGAAACGTCCACAGTAGCAAGGAGCAAGCAGAAACAGCTGTATTCACAGGCTAACCTTATTGCCAATATGACTGAAGTTATAATTGGGGGGTGTCAAAAAAGTTTCAGTAACAATGACCACTGTGTTCCTGTCTCCTCTGCAGAGATCACTTTTTCTCACTAGAAGGCTGGGAGAGGGAAAAGGGATCATGCAGCGGGTGATAGGAGGAAAAAAGGGAAAGGGGATCTCTACTTTTGCTTTTCTTATCATTCCCACGTGCTTATTATTTTTGTTTAACTTTTTTATTTGAAATATTATTAATGAAATACTTGCGGGAGCCTCCGCTGAGGAGTTTGTCCGTGTTCTAAAGTTTATAATCCTGTTGGTGCTGAAGCTAGAAGGGGCTTATAAGTTTGATTAATTTGAGTTTTTTGATCTCAATCAATAACAGTAATTAATATTTTGGCTTATTAAACAAAATTATTGTGGTTAAATCATGACTTCTGTTAGTCATCAGGGTTTTTTAGGTTGGGGTGGTGGTTTAGGAGGGGGGGGAATGTATTTTGCCTATGGTTGTGTGATATGGAACGAGGGGGCCAGGGAAAAAACAGACCACAAAATGGGGGGGTGGCTTCCAAAAAACTGCTCTGGAAAAAAAAAACTAAAATCACCATAGGCCCCCCTCTACCATACCATGTGTACCATAGAGAAGTGAAAAATAACAGTGTGGCTGAGATAACACTGTAATGCTACAATTTTTACTGAAATTATTTGTTGCTTTATTTTGTTGTTAACCAAGGCATAAAAGTCAGACCAGTTGTTCTGTTTGGTCCAAGTGGCTGTGGTAAGAGTACACTGAAGAATCGCCTGATGAAGGACTATCCTGACAAGTTTGGTTTCTCTGTGTCACGTAATTAGAATATTTATGTTATATATAATTATTTTAAATTAAATTTTTTATGACATTCATTTCACCAAACCTAGCTACCCAATATGAGCAAATTTACCATCCTGTTTATTAAAAATTGATAGAGTGATTTCCTGTTCAGGTTGTAGTAGAAAAAAGAATAACACATCACAAAAAGTGGCATTATTTTGTTTTATTATTGAGCCCTATGTTTTTTCTTTGGGTCCTTAGTCAGCCCCCTTTCATCATCATCATCATTATCAGGGTTTGTATTCACTCTTGAAAAAGGAACCCCTCCCTGGATTGATCCCACAGGTGTCTGTGCTTGGCTAATCTTGACCATAAGGGTCCGATCTGTCTAGTTAGATGGTCTCTCCATCTTGTTTTTGGACGACCCTGTTCACTGGTCCAATCTACATGTAGCTCTTGGGCTCCACTCTGTTGCTCTGATGGTCCAATCAGGGCTTCTGATAATTCGCGCGGTCGCGGACCCGCGAAATTCAGGTATTTCCGCGAAATCCCGCGAAATTCCCAAAAAAACGCGAAATACCGCGAAATCCGCCAGAAATATTTCCAAATACACGTCGGCAAAACATATTTAATACTTATCTTGGCTATTAGACCAGCTTTATTCACCCCAAACGTCCAAATTTAGCTTGAAGCTTCGTCACTGCAACGAGTAAGCAACGTCCCAAAACTACCAGGCGTTTTAAGATGAACGTTGCGAAAAACTGGGCACTAACTATAATGTTTATAGCTTTTATAACATTCGCTCATTTCTGGAGCGAACTGTTGTTGAAGAGCAAATGATTATCCCTGTTGAAAAAAACGTTCACCAACGCTGGTCATATCGACGCCAAATTGACCGATTTTAGCGAAATTTGCCATAAAAAACCCAGCGAAATCGGCTGTTTTTTACTGATTGTTCCTTGGCGAAGTTTCCCCCCGAAATTTCCCGTGAAATCGGCCGATTTTCCTAAGAATTTGCCCCTGAAAATCGTTCGAAAATTGACTTTTTTCCGCTAAAATCCCGCGAAATGGGCCGATTTTTCTGCGAATTTTGACTTTTCTCCCGCGAAAATCGCCTGAAATCGACCGATTGTTCAGTAGCCTGAGTATCAGGCGTTTCTGGGGAAAAGGGGAAAGATGGAAGCGAAAAAGGGAGAGAGGTGAAGGAGAGAAACGCCTGACACAGATGCTTTTACCGGAGCCTTCCACCCCCACACCGCATGATTCGATACCATCCAATCAAAATCACTTCCGG